TCTCCTCCTCCTCCTCCTCCATCTTCTCCTCCTCCTCCTCCATCTCCTCCTCCTCCTCCTCCTCTTCCTGCTCGTCCAGGCTCCCAGTGCTCCATTGCTCCCCAACCAGCCTGGCTTCCCCCATCACCTTCCCAGCCTGATGCTTCCCCATCACCCCAAGAGCCCCCCGCAGGCGCTGGCACCCTTGGGTGCTCCAGCTGCCACCCGCGCCAGCAGGTCCCCCGGCTCCCCGGCGCTGCCTACCTGCTCGGTGGCTCGTGGCCAGAAGACAGCGAGGAGGAAGACGGCGGTGACGGGGGGCGCCAGGCAGCTGGTGACAGCCTGGATGTAGACGTAGAGCTGGCCGCCGCTGGAGCTCTGCAGGATGGGGATCCAGACCACGCTGAGGGCCACCAGCGCCACCGTCACCGCCCTGCGAGAGGCAGCCAGACGCTCGTCCTGCCGGCGCCGCCGAGTAGCCAGCACGCAGGGAGCATCAACCCGGCATCGCTGCGGCCCGCGAGGTCACCGCGGGCGACGCCCAAGGCCCCGGGACACCCCGCGTGCCACCATGGGCATCCTACAGGGTGGTGGGAAGGGACGGCAGCTTGTGCATCCCCTGGGCACTTAGGAAAACACTGCCTCTAATGCAGAGCCTAATGTGGCCACCAACCCGACCGAGGCTCTTGGGGTGATGCTCCCATCGCCACCACATCCAGCTCCTCCTTTGGCCCCGGAATTCTCCCTTCAGCACGCGCTGGTGGATAAAGAGCCTGTAGCCACCAGTCCAGACACATGGACACGGGGTTTATCCATCCCCAAATGCCAGCTATGAAGCCACTGGAAGGGACTGGCCACCCCCTCTGCAGCATCTCCCCGTTCACACCCTGCGGCATCTCCCCATTCCCATCCTGAAACATCTCCCCATCCACACCCTGCAGCATCTCCCCATTCCCATTCTGCGGCATCTCCCCATCCATACCCTGCGGCATCTCCCTCTCCGCACCCTGCGGCATCTCCCTGCACCCTGTGGCATCTCCCCATTCCCATTCTGCGGCAATCTCCCCATCCCATCCTGTGGCATCTCCCCATCCACACCCTGCAGCATCTCCCTGTCCACAGCAGGGCACAGGGGCCAAGCGCCGGCTCTTGAAGCCCCATGGAGACCTTGCTAGGGGCAAGAAATGGAAAAGGGGCCGTGCGGGGACAACTGCACGTCTGGGGCCGGGGCTGTCACCACTGCAGTATTTATAGCTCAGCCCGGCTTCTTCACAGCTCCGCAGAGTTACCTAAACCACCATCTGCTCGTCTCAGAAAGCAGAAGTGCAAAAGCACCAAAAAAACCCAACAGTAACAACAACAAAAGCAGCAAAGCAGCTCTGAGCCCTTGGAGCTGCTTTGCAACTGCCTGCCTGGCACAAGGCAAAGGGGAAGCAGCCCAGGAAGGATTTTCCAAGCCTCCTGCGGGAGCACCTTGGCTGTTCATGGGGGGCAACTTGGCACACATTTTGGGGCCCGGTTGCAGCAGCCGATGCTGCG